AGCAAGAAATCATTTTCTAAGAGTAGATAAGGATAACAGCAGAAAGCTGTCAAATCAGATTGAAACAGCTTCTAGTATTTACTTCTACCCAAGTGCACAGAAACACACAATCTCTACAATGACAGGCATGGATTTTTTCCTTTTCTTTCTTTTTTTTTTTTTTTTTTTTTTAATCAGAGGAACAACTCTCGGGTTAGGACAAATTTGGGTGCTTTTTTAACAATAACAAATTACGTAAATGGAACAAAATTAACTCACATGATTGTTTCCCCCCACCCTACACTAACACTTAATTTGTATAGCAAATACATTTGCTTGCTGCATCTGAGTAATCGTAAAAAAGGAAATTAACGCTACAAACTATATAACATGCATAACAAAATCAAATCTGGTGTTTTAAAAAATATTTTTTAAAAAGGGTATTTTTTTTTCTTCAGTTCAGAGAGGGGAAAAAAAAAGAAAGAAAGAAAAGAAAAAAAAAAAAAGCAAAATTGAATTATTCATACCTAAAGGTACCTGGAATAGAAGCAAGACTAGAAAGACAGAACGAAAGCAACTTTCTATATTCACATGGAACAACTTATGTAATCTTCTCTGTCAACACCATGTCTTGGTCTCATTGCTGCCCACTGAGAACAACACAGTAATTGAGGTATGAAGCAAGATGCTAAGAACAGGATTTTTAACTTCAGGAAAGGTCTGAAGCACATATTCAAGTCCCACTGACATGTCCAAGATGTAAACATATGACATTTCATTAATACTAACTTGTGATGGAAAAAGGACAAACACTTGAGCAACATGCAGAACTGATTCTGAAGCCAGAAGCTGTAAGGCCAACTTAAGCCAGTGCCACTTGCGAGACAGGGCTTATCAGACCAGGTGTAGTGCTACAATAATGTAGTAATACTGCTTTTGGAAGCAACCTAGTATGTTTCTTGCTGTACATTCCATTGCAAAAGCCACCTATATAAATTTAGCAAGACTTGAATGCATGGTTAAAAATAAGCACCCACTTGGTGTAGCAGGTCAACTATTTCCAGGATCTTCAAAGCTTTCTTACAAATGTCACAGCAAACAGCAGGAGTCTAAAATTTCATCAGCAAATATGACTGAGTGACTAATACCTCTGCAGCTGTCTAACAATCTTTGCCTTCCTCTGTTATCTTCTACTTTTTTAATCAGTGTCTTTAACAGTACAGCATAATATATATCATAATACATCATAATGAACATCTTTGATGTTCAGATGTTGACTGCAAGGTACAAAATGGCCTGGAGGAAAAAGATTAGGCTTTTTGAAGCCTGCTTTTGGTAATATAGAGAAAACTAGAGATAAAAAGGCATAATGAGAACAATTATTTTGGGTGTCATTATAATTTTATAATAAACATGAGGTAATCATCACCACAGAATGACTCTCAGTCTAATTGAAAACGACATGACAGCTACCACCCATTTTTAACTCTTTTGTTTGTTTTTACATTTTGGGAGGCTTTCTTCACTATAAAAGAACATTCAAACAATGGGAACTGGTTTATATCAGTTGAGCTGCTCATTAAGTTGAAGGCAGCACAGAGAAACATTTACGCCTTTCCCTCCCTAGTGTCAAAACATGCATACAACCACTTCAGGATCCATAAACTACATTAATCAATCTTGCCTATTTTTCCTTCAAGTGCTGACAGACTGTAACATGGCAATGCTCAGATCACTTTAAAGATATTTGAAATACTAGTCATAACCAAAAGAGCAGAACAAGCTCAGCAACAGATGTAGCCAAGGCATCCCAGGTCCTTTTTATGACTCCACCAGGCAAGGGCCAGCAGCTGCCTGCCACACAGCGAGCCAGATAGGAAAGCTGGCATGTGCACAGTGGCTTGGAGGTGGCATCACCACCTTCCTTCTCACTTGACTCTCCTGTGGTGCATTTTGGGGTTTTATTTTTGAGAGGTGAGCCATGCACCATGCTTCTGAGTATTTTTTCCACATTGCCAGTGATTGACAACAACAGCCTGGAGAAATGTAAATTGCAGAAAGGCTGTGGCTGTCTGTGGGGGTAGGGGCTTTCTCACTTGAGGCAAAGCACTATTTCTCTACCTACAAGTTGCCCATGAGGGAGCCAGAAGAGTGAGCTGGCAAGTTACTTATTGCCCATCTCTTCACTAAGGATTGAAAATGAAGAAGCGTCTGAACAAGTCTGCCTGAAAGCCCCACAGCAGCAGAAAAGATTATATTCATACACCTGCTACAGCACAGACGACCTGATTACAAACCATCACCATGTGAGACAACTCTATTTCCAAAGCAGTTCAGCCACATTAGTTCATAAATGCACCTGTGCTAATAGCTTGACTCTCAAATGACCTTATTAGTACAGCACATCAGCTCAATGTTATCGCACAGCAGCCAGCCACAGGGTGGCTTTCATCCTGCTAGGCCAGAACACAGACGGATCTGGGACAAAACACTCAGCTCCTTGCTTTAGCAAATCTGGTCCTCACAAATTTCTACTTCTTTATTGGCTCCCACATGGGGAATTTTTGAAGAGATTCCCTCTTTGCTTTTTAGCCTAGGACTGAAGAAGGTCTTGTTCAAAAGCTCTTTGCAGGAGAAGAAAGGAAAAGCATTAGGAAAAATGATCCCACCACTTAAAAATGATCAGAAGTAATAAAATACTCATGAGGAGAAATGGCTGCAAGTTGAGGAAGACAGAGAAATGAGGAGTGGCAGCCTCTTCTTAGCAGACTAAAAGGAAGGAAAATACTTTCTTTCTACCATTTGACTGAGCAGTCCATTGTCTCACTGTTTGAATAGCCTATTTATCACTAGCATTCATAAAACTGAAAAAAAGAGGCAAACAAAAATAAGTTGTTTTTCCTACATCAACCTCATTTAATTACTGAAGAGTAGTTTGAATTGTTTATCTCCTAATGCTTCGGTGGATTGGCGGCCAGTCTAGACCAGTCAGGCTTGCCTGATTGTATAAGAAATAGAAAATGAAATTAGCATAGTGAAAGACAGGGATAATCTAGGAAGTATTCACAATAATGAATAGAGTTGGGTGACAGGTCACTGTAGCTGGGAGTTTCTGATACCCAGCCTTGTTACAATGTGTGTGGGCTAGTAAATATTCAGCAGAACTTCAACAGGATATTTTAAGGAGATTTACAGCCAGCTCAGTCATGTCTGTATCACCACACTGACACGCTGTCTTTGCTTTTGCATATCTTACAAGAAACTTAATGTCAGCTTATATGGCAAGAAACCAGACAATCATATATACATAAGTCTGTGCGTACTGAGATATGTATGATGAAAATAGCTTGCCTTGTCTCCTGGGAGCATAATACCCAGCAGTTTAATTTCCAGACAACATTGCAGCCAATCCTGCTATTGGACAAAACCTAGAATTTAATTTTTTTAATCACAAAAACTGGCTTAAAGCAAGCAGACACTATTAATACAGTCTGGGATATCTGGGGATCTCCACCAAGGACAAAAATGGAATATACATTAATTATTTAATCAAATGTGCACATACTCTTTTCTTTCCAAGGAAAGCCAATGTTTTAATGTAAGCTTTACAATGTCACTAAACTAGTAAGTCTCACAGCATCCTATCACCACCCTGGTGTGCTGTCTTGCTGTTCAGTTACTTCATTTCTTGCCCTCCTGCACTAGTTTTGAAAAAAAGTAAAAGAAATGGCATGTGCTTGTTCACAGTTAACAAAAAGTCACTTACTGCAGCAACAAGTTTAATAATTTTACCTAGGGAGACAAAGTATATGAAGAAGAGTTACAAAAGCAGACTGACAATCCACAAGCTACTATAATGCTGCTTTGCAAGGCATCTTATCTGCCAAATCTAATTTTTCACTCTGTATCAGCTTTCAGTAACACTTGCATTTGCCTCATACTAACACAGCTTTTAGACTATGGCATGACATAACTGTCTAACCAAGAAGCACACCTCTGTCAGCGGATGCCTTTGCACCATACAATGGGCTTCTGAGCACAGAACTGAAAAACTCAAGTGCAGTATGTTCAAAGGCTGTCACTTTTTTCTTTCACAGACAGACAAAGCAATCAAGTGATCCCTTCTTACTTCTGATGAATTGTGAATAATGAAAGCTTAGTCAATGCCTACATTGCACTCACAGGTGGTATTTTAACCATTCTCATATAAACCTGTTTGTGTGCCAAGAGCAGTACAGGCAGCATGGAGTTCAGGATCCCAGCTGGATCTGCCATATATGCTGAAACCACAGCTAAACATTGTTACTGATCCCTGAACTAGAGGGTTTACTGCCTGTTTGGAAATGTTTACACTAGCTGTAGTCACATTTCATTATGGTATAGATACAACCTCTAAGAGAAGTAGCTGGGAAATGTTACAAATAGCTGACATTTATACACAAACAGGAAGGCATAAGTATTTGACAGTAACTCTTTACGTTACCTGTATGCAGGAAGAACTACAGTAATTTCCTAGGGTGAATAATACAACCTCATTTCCTCATTTTTATTATGTAGGATTGATGTTATTTGCATCATATGAAATAAAAAAAAACACCACCTCCCTGATGGTGTCCTTTACTATTTCTTATATTTTCTAGTTGTAGAAAACAGAACATTCGGTGAACATATGAAAAACCTTCATCAGCATGATAGACACCAGACTCCAAATGGAAAATTAGCAGCGTGTGGTCTGTAATACTAATAATGCATCTTTAATTCTAAAACACAGAACTAAGATAACGAAAAAGAAAGTATCCTCTTACCTTTGGGTGTCTTTATCCACGTTAATGCCAAAACTGTAACACCTAATCAAAACATACTCCTACTTTTCTTCATTTTTTACTAATGTATGTACTACTGCAACTTAAAAGGACATTTCCTAATGTATCCGCTTTAGATACAGCTGATAAATTCAGACAATTCAAAGGCAAAGACAGATAGGAATAAATAAAGCATTTATCATAAAAAGCAGAATTTACCTTTAGCAGGGTTTACTTTTATCCCTGACCTATACAGCATCTCCTCATTCTGCCAGTCCCCATTCCTGACAACGGTCTTGAGTCCATAGAAAACAATTAACGCAGCAGTGGAACAAAAAACCAAGTTCTTCAGAAAGCGCTTTTGGGCTTTGACATAAAGGGCCCTGACACCTACTGTAACCAGCAGGCAGAAGCCCATACTAGGGACATACAGCACACGCTCTGCTATTACAAAGCCAACATAGAAAAACAGGTTTGTGGCAGGAACAAAGGGCACTATTAACAAAGATAGAGACAGAAGGACAATGTTCTCAGTTGAAGGAAGTGGCTGTTTCTGCATTTCATGCTTTTTTATACCATTCTCTTCTTTCGATGCAAAGCTTGACTTCACCTCCAGTGTCTTGTACTCCATCTCTGAGTGGCAGCTATGCCCATTAGCATTCTGCTTGCCGTTCATTACAGTTTTCGCATTGCATTTTCTCTCATTGCTGGAACCCTTCAAGCTAAAGTAGGCAAGGAGGAGGAGTCCAGCATAGAAGGCCACAGTGTGTAGATTCCTCCAGTCGCTAACTGCTTTCAGAAGAGGCACGGCATCCATAGACCAGTCAAAGCTGAGGGTATCCGGGCACAGCAACAGCCAGAGGTTCTTTGTTGGCAGGTAAAAGAAGGTCAGCGTACGTGTAAGAAAACTGTCCGAGTCAGCTGCTGGATTGTCAGAATTGGAAAAACTTGGGGGCTTGTTGCCCATCCAGTATAAGCGGACACCCAGCAGTGCAGTCCCCCAGGAGGTCAATAAACCAATGCTGAAGAAGAAGGTCAAATTCTTTCTCTGGGGAACAAATAAAACAAATATAATCATCAACATAAACCAACATCAGGTGCTCAATTCTGTAATTATTATAAACGAAAGGAACTGAGAAATGTGTGATCCAACTTTTTTTTTGTTTTTTTAATGGAAACAAGCACTATAGATCTCAGTCTCTCGACATTTGGGTAACAAAATATCAGGGTATGCTGTTGACCACAGACTAAAAGAACAAGCCCTTTCATTAAGCTGTATCAAGCCTGTACCAGTTAAGCCTTTGGAGATCTTAGGGCTGTCAGTTCTTGCTTAAGATTTAGTTGTATAACCCTTTGAAAACTCTTTATTTTAGAGGAATTTATGGAATATTACAATGACTCCAGCAAAACCTCCCAAATCCTTTCTTTGCCCCTGTGACCAAAACACCAGTTTGTGTTAACTAGATTTAAAGAACGTTCCAGTTCCATTTTCCTTATAGAAAGTGTATCCTAACGTATTCTAACTGAAAAGTAAGTAAACTTTCCAAGAATGCAAGAGACTTAAAACAGACATAAATTCCATGCTTAGGTCTTCCAGCTCCTACTTACTAACTACAGCAATCATTTGGAGCCTTCAGATCTGCCTCCTACTGAAAACCCCTCTTAATTTTGTATCTCACAGCCAAACAATATGTTGGGTTTTTTTTTTTCCCAAGCACACCATATCAAATAAGCGCTCTAAAACCTTCCACATCTTCACACCCATCTAAATAATATTACCTGAAGCATGCAGCTGCCTCCACCTCCCCATGTCATCATGCTAGCAACTTGAAGAACCTTGCCTTATTTACGGAATAACTCAACATTTGCCATCTGGAACTGCTTGTTGGGTTCCCCCCTGCTGCATCCAAAAGCACTTACTTATTCAAATGCTTTCAGAAACATACCACTTCTGCCTAAATGAGAATCAGGAAGCAAGATTTTCTCACCTATTTCTATGACTGATCAGCTTAAGTTCTGCTCTCAATTACATGGGCATCCTAAATGAAAGCTGTTTTGAATTACACTCTCTTTGCAAAAGAATCTGTAAAAGCTAAAATATGTGTATTTTTGTATTTTAATTTCTCAGATGCTTTTTGTAACAAAACTATTTGCCAAAGAGTGCCAGACACAATGTAAGCATTTTGATAATCTTTCTCCCCATTATTACAAAGAATTATTTGTCAATCATTTTTAGGTCTGTTTTTTCCATCTCACACTACACATTCATGGGATGGTTATTCATATTCCCTCAATTATTCAGAAGTAGGACTTCACATTGGAATTACCTTATTTCTTTCAGTTTATTTTCTCCTTTGTGGCGACACTCTGTCCTGGATATGAAATAGAGACGCTTATGCTGCTCCATTTTAGGTCAATTATTAATAGTTTCCTACCTAATGTTCCAGTAACAAGATGTGGTCTAATCATAATTAATCTACTTATCTCATGAAGAAATTTCTACAGAGTTTCTCCTTGTGAAGTTTAAAATACTTCATGTCAGTTAGATTAATTCATTCAATTTTAATGCAATATGGAAGAATTCAATGGAGGCATTAGCAGGGAACAAAAATTTATAGCAAGAATATTTATGTACTTGTTTCAGAACTATCTAAAAAAGTCTGAGTCCACATATTTCATTTACCATATTAATTCCGGTTTGATATTATTAGCTTTTGTGCATTTCTGTATCCTGAAAAATTAACAATTTTCTGGTAATAAATCAGTCAAAACCCGTATCTACAATTTATCATGAGTGTATTCCCTGGAAAGCCTACTGTAATAACTTATTTTTATTTGTAAGCTGGATAATACTTCACAACTCATCTCAGATACTGTTTCATCCCTACCTGTTTAAATGCTTTTAATGATATGATACTGTGTAAATGGGTTATCACTGAAAATCCCAACTAAGTTTATATGTAAAACAAAAAGATATGAGTTCATGGAATTGCATGTACACACTCACAATAAAAACCTCTGTTCCTGGTTCAGCTTGTCCTTTTATTCTCATCATATTTTGCTATGTGGAAATTTTTCTGCCCACCCCTCTGGGTCAATTATTTTCAAACTCATTTCCTTCAAACATGCACATAAACAACTGTCAAATGTTAAATGTGACCTTTTTTGCTCTTTTTATACACCCTTCTACAGTCCCTTGAGAGGAGGCTGTTTAGATGGAAAGAGGCTGGGAAGTGGAAGATGGGTGGTTTTGTTTGTTTGTTTAAATTAAAAATTCAGAGCAGGTCTTTGCTGGAAGGCTATATATACCACTTGAAAGATTAAGACATCCCAAATACTAAACAAGTAAAATATGATTATCAACAGAAAAGAAGTGAGCTTTCATGGATTGTTTTGATACTTTGTTATTTTGTTAATACTTACTTAACAATAGATGAAAATGTCTCTTTCTTAAAGGTCTAACTTTTCAATTAAATGCTGAGAAAGTTCACAGTACAAAGTTCTTTGACAAGACCATGCTAGAGCAGATATGCCATTCCTCAAGGATAACAGCAAAACCTGCTAAGAACTTTCAGATCTTCTTCATATATCATAAAACAATAACACTGAAAAGTTTGCCTTTTGTTCCCAGCCCTAGAAATGCAAACAACCTTGGAGCTAATCCATCCTCACTCCTGGTGTAACTATTTGCAGCCTCCCATCTAAGCTTAAATATAAGACCAGTAAGGTCCGGATCCTCACACTTCTCTGGCTCTACAGAAAGCACAACTTATCTACATGCAGTATCGCATTTCATGCTTTAACAAAACTCTTTTATGATTCTGTTTTTCTGGTTATGGTTTTGTTGCTTTGGGGTTTTTTTTCTATTTTACATCAGTGTCAAATGAAGTATCTAACCATTTACTCATAGAGCTCAGAGATATCCAAGTAGGTGGTTTTCCACACCAGGGTATTGATTTATCATGCTGTAAAATACTAGTTAACTAGCGAAAGAGCTCTGGTGAATTCTTTAGCTTAACTAAATTGTTTAGCTTTAGTCCTTAACAGACTAAAGGAACAGAGTGCAAATATCCTCTTGTTGCCTCAGACACAAATGGTCTGCATCCTTCTCCAGAAACTACTTCAGACATGTGTCTCCTCAAAAGTCAGTAGCTTTAATTCTTAAAATTAACTACCCATTAACTGCAGTTACCAATAACCTGTGTAAGACTGACATGCCATTGTGAATTTTCAGATTTCAGAGGAGATCCTCTGGACTCAGTCTAAAACCAAGACTAAAACTTAGCCCAACACTTTTTCTGTCACAAACATTTAAAGTAGCATGGCTTTTTCCCCCCACTTTTTTTTTCTCTCAACATTCATGACTTCTGCACAGCTTTTATCTCTCCGTACTAATACAGTCAGAGATAATTAGAAAAGTTTAGCTTACATTTTGAGTTTACTTTCTTCCAGGCTTTGTATAACAAACCCAAGGAAAAAGAAAAATTGTTACAGCAATTTACTAAAGCTAAATAATGTAACAGTTCTCCAGTAGACTTTTGCCTTCAAAGAAAGTGCTTTCAAAATGACTGCTCAGACAAGTACTTTCACTAGCAACTCTTCCTCTAAGCCTCCTGACAGCCTGCTCTCCTCTGACTGTGTACATTTAGTGTAGCCCAGCAGCAGGAAGAGATCCTCTGTAATGCTTGGCAGAAAGGATTTGGATTACTATACTCATGAGTCCTAATCCAGCCCATCTGCCATATGTTTTGACACCCCCATAAATCCTCTAACCTTTCATAAGTAGTCATTTTCATCTGGGGAAAACAAATGAGCACTGATTTAGATCAGATTTAACATCTCTCCTGCCTGCTAACAGTCAAGTACCACCAATGCAATTTTAGTATTTGTGTCTCCAGAAACCTTTTCCATCTTTTTACCAAAATCCATCTGCATGACCCACCCACACTGCACATTTCCCTTGCATTAAATCCTAATTCCTCACTCCATTATACTGCTCTTAAATAAGGCACTGCAGCAGATTTCTTGATTGGGCAGCACCTGCCAAAGCTCAGTCATCACCTAAGCAGTATCCAAAGCATTTTCAAAAGACACTCTTCTTTTAACCTCATGTTGTCTATTTTACAAAGCAGCATTAAACACTGTACATGGTCAAGACACTCCAGATATCAAAATAATTTGGGCTAACCACTTACAAAATGTTATTTTTAGAACTCAGGAAATACAGAAAAGAAAACAGGTAAGTCACCAGGCATTACTCACAGGAGTTTCTTTTCCAAATTAAAGCTCCTTGAAAATATGTTGGCTAGAAAACTGGGACTTCCCAAAGCAGTAAAATGCTGCCAAATCATTAGACTGACAATATCTTGTTTTCATGGCAGGTAGATGCTCCTGGATCACAGCTCAGCTGAATTTGAGCTGAACTAGAATTCAAAATGTTTCCCCACCACAATCCCTGCTGGGTTTAGTACTGAGCTCGAAATGGCCTATACCACACCCTCTCCACTTGCCCAGTTTGCTCCTGTTCGCATGACCCACTAATTGAAGTTCACTTATTTACACTGGTGATACAACAGCTGGCCTGAAGGTCTGCTCTTTCTCTGAGTTGTAACTGTCTATAGCTTATCCAATATTGTGGCCATCTGTACATATTTAATAACATTTACTTCTAGTGGTATTAACCGACACAATTCTCCTCAACAAGGATGCCAATACATTCATAAAACAGATGATTATGCGTACATATTTTTACCGTATTTAGCAAGTACCACAAATTAAGCAGTCCTTATTCCTGTTGACTTACTAAAATTTAAATTGCCTTACAAATACTAACATTTAGAATTGCCCAAAGTCTTCCTCTAAAATACTTAATACTTTAATATGAATCCTTAAATTAAGCAAACAAACAAAAAAACCCCAACAGCAAAACAGACCAAAAAATCCTCTAACCTCTCAGCTGAAAAAATAGTTTTAAGGACTATAGGGGGAAACATAAACTGCACGAAGAACAGAAACTGTATGAATGACTGTATGTAGAACAACAGCACAAATTACTATATTAGCCTGATAAATCTGTGTGCATGATCAGTGTAACAGAGAAGGCTCTCTCTGGAGGTAAGTCTACACAGCCAAACACAGTGTGACAATGCTAGGTGATGCTAGGGATATCTACCCAGGGTTAATCCATCTATCTGCAGAAGCAAGAATTTAACAGAGGAGGTTAGAAGCCTAGGGAGACCCAAAGATATTCCTGAACTGCCAGACTGCTCAGGAATTCTGTCCAGCACTACTGTTACCACTGCACAGGTAGATATGCAGTCCAGCAGTCACACCTGCATTTCATTTAACAAGTACTGTCTCATTTGAGAGGTTTTGCAGTGAAGGAAAGGTACTGCACTTTCTGCACCAGCTAAAATGCTGATAGCTCACTGAATATGCAAGTATGTTGGAAGGCAGAATTGGAATTCAAAATTATATTGAAAAAACAGAGAAATGTTCAGTAAAATAAACCCATTTAAAAGGCAAGGTCATATCTCATTGCTTAAAGCTACACAAGTATGAGATACAGAACCAGCAGTTGGCTTATCTTCAGAGAAGCATCAGGGATTATCATACTTTTTACCTGACTAATGAAAATAGAAACAGATTTTATGAGCAAAAATGCCATTTAAACCCAGATTAAGCCTCTGGCAATGACTAAACAACTTTATCAATCCAGTAGAAGGAAGTCATCAATAATCAATTTCTGTACATGGGATAAATAACAACTTGTTTCTAGTTTTGACAGAACGACCTATCTACGAGTAATAGAAATC